GCTCTGTGACCGCTGGAGACTAACTGTAGGAACGTTTCTGTGTGTTTGACAGTTGGGTGCGAAGGTTTCTGCACAACCAGGTTGTTTGGCGTAAAACTGATAGTTAAGAACATTTATGTCTTGTTGCACCGAGCCTTGACTCCTGAATACAGCCTTGTTTCTGCAGCACCTATCTGGCCTTCATGCAAGTTGTAGAGATGTGATTTAGTCATCAAGCGTCTCAGTCGGCCTTCATGACGGTTTGAGCTCCAGCTGCAATTCTCTTTGGTTTGAGGGGAAAACTCCATCAGCATGACAGAGATGTTCCACACGGCGGAGTGACGGTCCTGCTCCTCTTTACCGCTAACGCTTTCTGTCCACCCGTCTCGGCCCAGCAGGTACCTTCCTAAAGCGCTGCTGTGTTCCAAAACGGCAACGTCGGCAGTAGTAATCCCATCCGAAGGGAATACGGTGGCTAAATTAAAAGGAGACACTTTCCTTCAGTGGAGAACTCAAATGCGTCCAACCCAGCAGATGTTGGGATTAGAACCAGAGGAGAGGTTTAACAGCAGAAGCAGCGGGGCTCAGTCAATGTGACAGCTGAAGCTGCTGGATCACAGAGACCCGGATTAACTGCAGGCCAGAGGATTTGTTGATCTGATCCCACGGAAAAGCCGACGCTCCCGATATGACTTCACCGGGCTCTGTTTTGCATGCACACTTCTGTCTCCTGGCTGATGGAGAACAGGACACATCTCTCTGCTCCTCTCTTCATGTCTGCAACAAGTTAAAGCCACCTCCCTCGCCTCGTCTCAACATGAATCTGTGAAATGACTGGAGCTCCAGCGGCAGCAGTCATCACTCACGCTCCGGAGCAAAAGCAGGAAGTAGCTGTTTTCTCCACAGCAGGAGCAGACGGTTTCCCTCTGCTGCAGAGCTCCCGTTCACTCGTTCAGCAGATTCCTTCATCCTATCAGACATCTGAATCTGGTTTTACGGACAGATTCAAGCATGACGATGAAGTTAAGATGGTGGAGATAAATGAACGCCGCTCCTTAAACTACCTGCAGATTTTAGATCCTGACCCGACCTGAGAGGTGACTGATCATCTGTGTATACGGACCAGAGGAGCTGTTTTCTGGTGTGCTGGGCTGCTAACGACTCGTTCACGAGGACTCCTGAGAAAGCTTCCAGCATACCCGAGCTCCTTTTCAGCTCCGAAAAGGGTCGGACAGCTGATGGGACCTGAGAGACGTGTCTTTACGAGTCCCAGCAGGATCCAATAATCCGTGATGAGTTGGAGGAACTTCACTGGTTTTATTAATCCGGGTAAACGACCAGAGCACCTGTTCAGTAGAGATGATTGTTCCTGTTTCATAGGTGAAAGGAATTAAAATGACTCAATAAGGACCTTTGAAATAAATAATAATGAAACAACTTCATGAAAGTGATTAAACTAATTCAGCTTCAAAGACAAAAACACGTTTATGTGATGAAATAAAAACATAAATCAGCATTTTGTTCTTTTTAATGAGAGTCTGAGAAAACTGCCAGAGAACATAACACTTATTCTGTGCTTTACTGCTGCCGTGTGGGTCTCTGCTGCCGCTGCAAACACTCGACATGTGATTAAAACCCTGTTTTCTGTCAGTGGTGGGTTTGGGAAAAATCTGCCTAAAACGAGCCTTTTGTGACATCACAATAAGGGGTTCATAAACACGTTCGTATCATCATAGGGTCAGTTATAACTGTGTCTCCTATAAAATATACTAAAGCTGACCAAAGTGCTCTAGTGCTTTTATAGAATTAATATTAGAGGAACAAATAAAAGTAAACTAAACAGCAAAAGCCCAAATATTTGGGTCTGATTCTCTGCTTGAATCAAAAGGAGAAACATGGAGAAGATGCAGAAGAAGCCGGAAACATCTTCAGAGGAACCCGCTCAGAGTTTCTGTCCAAGAGGGACTGAAGGAAAATCTTCTGTTACGGGATGCTCTGGATGTTTAAAGCAAGCCAGGAACTCGGGAGACTCTGGAGCCGGTTGAACCAGGTCTGAGACTCGTAAAGGGTTGAGAGCTGATCACTACTTTTACCTGAACTAACATTTATCTGAATGCTTCTGCAGAAAACTCTAAACTGCTAGCGTAGGTTTTCACAACTGATGTCTTCATCCAGACCAGATTCCCAGCATCATGTCCAGTATGGATCTGTACTGGGAACATTGGGATTTATCCCAGAACCTCTGCAGCCATTATTCCATGAGTGTGTGAGGTCACTAGTGTCCGGCAGCACGCGGGTCCATCTCTTTGAACCTTGCATCAAACACAAATATTTGTCATGTGAACGGGAGCTGACGGCAGCAGCGCGGCTGCCAGCTCCCGTTTCTGCTCCACTTGGCAGCAGGACGGTTTTGTCTCCCAGCGCTTGATGCATGTCAACCTCTACATAAGTGGAAGGCAGCGGAATGTCTCATTACTGTCGGCGAGACGAGAGGTAAACACATCCTTCAGCGGGCGCGGCAACAGTAAGCAGGAATTAACAAGGTGTAACACACTCCACTTAGTGTGTGGTGAATAAGTAAACCTACTGCCTTTAATCTGGTGCAATAGTTTTAACCCGGGGGGGGGGGCACTAATGGCCCTTGCACACTAGCATCGGCTCCACTCCGCCTGGACCCGGTTGAGAGTGTTCTTCCCAGGTGCAACAGGACGTCTTTTCAGCCGTCCTCCCGAGGAGATCTGCTTGGGGCTGAACAGGGCTGACACTCCCACTGCTGGCTGATTGGCTGGTTCAAAAGCACCCTTACCATTAGGCGGAGCCTCTGATTGGCGGATAGAATCAGCCCACGGGGGCTTCCCGATGTGTGATCCATTATCATTCTGGATGCTGTGGAGTTAACAAGCCTCTGACTGAAGCTGTTTCTCTCTGTCCCTCACTGCTGTGAGTAGGCACACACACACACACACACACACACACACACACACGCACGCACACACGCCAGTAGCTCAGAAGGTTGCAGGTTCGATTCCGGCTCCGACCAGAGAATGCTGCCTTTGTGTCCTTGGGCAAGACACTTAACCTGCCTTGCCTGCTGGTGGTGGTCGGAGGGACTGGTGACGCCAGTGCTCGGCAGCCTCGCCTCTGTAATTAGGAGATGCTACGATGTAGCTTCAGCTGCCCTGGGGGGTGCGACTGTTGTTTAATAAAGGAGACGCTGCAGACTTCTCCACGCTCTTTTGCCCCGACCACATGCTCAGAGATGCGCTCCTGACATCACAGACCCAAGACCGCCCAGGTTCTCAATTACGTCTGCATTCCTAAGGCAGTGTGGAACGAACGTGGCCGGGTCGGGGCAGAGCGGAGTGGAGTGGAGCTGGTACTAGTGTGTAAGAGCCATTAATGGTATCACCACGGATGCTGAAGGGAAGGGGAGTCCAGGTGGGAACAACAACGAGTAAAAATCTCTAATATTAATTTATAATGACTTTTATTATTCTAACCTTCCATCTGACTGTAATCCAGGCTGGAATTAGCTTGGGTTAAGGTTAGACATGCGTGGGCTTCAGACTGGACAGAGGGGGTGCTGTGGGAGGACTGGGCTGCCTGTGAGTGCTGTAAGACGAGGGGAGGGGGTTCTTGACCGTAGCAAATGATCTGTCACCTTTGAACTTTAGCCTGGTGCTGCACAACCAGTAGGCTTTGGTCACTGGACCTCAGGGACCTGCTGGGGGTGTAGGGACTAAGAAGATCACCAATGTAAGATGGTGCTTGTCCATGTAAGGCCCTATAGACCAGAACCAGGATCTTGAAATGAACCCTGAAGTTGACTGGCAGCCAGTGAAGCTGGAGGAGAAGCGGGGTGATGTGGGTGTGTTTGGAGGACTTGGTCAGAAGCCGAGCACAGGCGTTCTGAACCACCTGTAGACGGTTCAGGGAGGGAGAAGCTACTGATGCAGATGATCAGATCATCTCCTCCGTTACGTTCTCCGCTCCTGTCGCGGCTCGCTCCGTTTCTTTCTGTGTGATGCTGAAAAGTTGGTTTCCCTCTAATCGTGATATTTGTAGTATCATGGGTTACTTCATGCAATACCTTGTTGGAAAATTCATTTTATGTGCTTTTAGAAACCGTTGGAACTGTTTTACTTCACACAGCCATTCAGAAGTTATGATGCGGAGAATGTAGGGTGACACTTTTGGAACATCTGTGATTCTTTGTTGTGTGAGTTTCTCTAACTTCACTCCAGAAGTCTCTCATGCCCGTTTTTTCTGGATCAGACATGCTGCTACCTGACTCTGCTCCTACTTACTACACACACACACACACACACACACACACACACACACACACACACACACACACACACACACACACACACACACACACACACACACACACACACACACACACACACACACACACACACACACACACACACACACACACACACACACACACACGCACACACACACTAACCAGAGACTCAGATGTTAATGTAAACAGAAGCTCTGATACTGAAATCCATCCAGCTGGCGTGATGCAGGCAGGATAAAAACTCACATGTAGATGAGCTTGGACTCCTGCCGACACGCAAAACACCGGTCTCAGTCGTCTCCTTGGCTGAGAGTTAGAGTGACAGTGGGGACAGCCAACCACGTTAGCATGATGTGGCAGAACCAATCAGTGAGCTTGTGGGTGGGTCTAAGTGAAAATATGAGGTGGCGGTCTTCCGCATGGTGCTAGAGCCTGACTTTATCCAAGTAGGACAGTTTTGGACCACAAATCTGACACGGAGGACTGGAAAATGGGCACTTTGCCCCCCCCCCCCCCCCCCCCCCCCCCGGCTCTGCACATGCCTGCCAGGAGGTCACCTCAGTTCTTGTTGAATTTATGCTGATGTGTTTAATAATTTCAAAGAATGAAAGTGGAATGTCTAAAAGAAGCCGCACTCTGGTGAGACGGTTTCACTCCGATCAGAGTCCTGAGCTGAATGTCTGTCATGTTTCACATCTTGAACCCGTACCTTTGTCGCTGAAGTCGTCCACCAGGATGATCTCTGCGATGAGCTGCGGAGGAGAGCGGTTGAGCACGCTGTGAACCGTCCTCAGCAGCGATGACCAGCCCTCGTTGTGAAACGGGATGATGATGCTGGTGTTGGGAAGCTTCTCTGCATACAGCTTCTGCTTACAGCTGCACAAACACAACACAGATCCTTTACTTTGGTGGTCGCTCCCATCCAGCCAGCAGCCATCGTGGGTTGCACAGCCGCCTCTTCAGCAGTTCTGGGGTCACTGAGGTGATGGATTATTCAGCGCTCAAAAGCAAGTTTGGCTTGTACACAGTTTGACTCACTGGGCTCAAATCCAGCTGGAATCGTCTCCAAAAGCGCTTTTCAATCTATTTTGTACAATTCACTATTTCTGTGACAATTGTGTTTGCTCGGCTCTCGAAGAACAGAAACCCAACAGGAACAGGAAAGAGGGATGATGTGGAACTCAAAAGTATTCAAAATTCAATAAATAAATAAGACATTATGAAATAAATACCTACATGAAGAAATACTAGACACTCATGTAATCTGACAATGAAACGATGAAATAACAGAATGTGGTGTAAAATCTAATCTCAATATTAAATATTTTCATTCTTCTTTTAAAATGTCTTTATTAATATGATGTTTTTTCAAAAGTCATTTTTTCATAATAATCCAAATGAATCAATGGGGGAGCCATTTTTATTTCATTCAGTTTTAATTACATAACGTGTTTTTAACAAAGACAGCTTTTATTTCATAAGAGTGTTTTTTTTTTCCATGGCTGATTTATTTCATAATGAGACTTTACAGCAGAACGTCTCAGTCTGTCAGTCAACACTAACGGGTCGGAGCCAGTGTGTCATTGGCTGCTAATTCAGTCAGACAAAAGCAATCACTCACAAAGTATCGAACCAAATGCTTCAAAAATGTCATCCAAACAACTCAAAATATCGTCTACCAACAAACTGTTCAACTCTGTTTCATCCGCCAAAGAAAACAGGGCAACGCCGCCATCTTTCATGACCATTAAAGGTGTTACTACCTTCAACTGTCCGGTCATGTACGGTGAGCAGAAATCCAGGAAAACCAAACGATGTTGAAGGATTAACCAATAGTGTTGCAGGTCACACCCACTGGCTTGACTGACGGACTGAGACGTTCTGTTGTAAAGTCTCATTATGAAATAAATCAGCCATGGGGAAAAAAAGCCTATTATGAAATAAAAGCTGTCTTTGTTAAAAAGACGTTATGTAATAAAAACTGAATGAATGAAATAAAAAAGGCTCAATATTCATTTGGATTATTATGAAAAAACGACTTTTGAAAAATACTTTATATTCGTACAGACATTTTAAAAGAAGAATGAAAAATATTTCATAATATTGAGATTAGATTTTACACCACATTCTGTTATTTCAGCGTTTCATTGTCAGATTACACGAGTGTCTAGTATTTCTTCATGTAGGTATTTATTTCATAATGTCTCATTTATTTATTGAATTTTGAATACTTTTGAGTTCCGCGGATGAGCAGATCTAAGTGTCTCATGTTCATCTGGTCACCGAGTCTAATCCAGATTACATCAGCAGTTCTATTTGTGACCCAAAGCCAACATGTTGTTTTCTGCATGAAAAGTAAACTAAAGACTGATTTTGCTTGAAAGAGGATTTTCTCCAACTGTCTGATTTTTGTCAGATTGAAATTAAACTTGTCGTTGGTTAAATTTAGACCACAGTTTGAGATTATTACAGAAAAGGTCTCTGAAACAGACAAATCTGTTAGTCTAGAGACTTCAGTGACTTTGCTGGAATACAGTCATTAAACGAAGCATGTTCAGTAATTAAAACACAGAAAACCAGCATTCTAACACAAACAGCCTTTAACTTTGAGCCGCCGACATCCGAGGAGTTTCTGTAGTTTATACTCGCCTCAGCAGGAGGCGGGACTCCTGCTGAGGCGCTCATCGTAAGAAAACCACCTGTCGATTTTCTGTCTCTGTTGTTTAAATATAATGACTGACAGGCAAACCTTCACAACAAGATCTGGTTCCACACAGCATGGAGGTCCGTTAAACCTCTGAGTGTTTCAGAGTCACAACCAGGTGCTGAGGCTCGGGAAAACCCAGTCTGATTCATAAAACTACTGTCAGATTAAATAGATTACAGCTTCTGGTTCAGAAAGAGTCAGACGTTTACCTGAAACATGATTAACCAGATTATTTATAGATCTGAGTCCAGCTCCACAAGCCAGACCCGATCCCCACCAGACCTGAGGAAGAACTTCAGCAAAACCCGTCTGACAGCTTTGTAGACAGGAAGCTGAAGTCCGACCTACAGGATTAGTGAGCTGAGGTGGTGTAGACACCTCCTGTTGGGATTATAACTCTAAACCGGAGTGGGAATGCTTTGGGATTGCGCTGGAGGAGCTGTCACATACTGACTTTCCAAACGCAGACAGAAGTGAATCAGATCTGTTCTGAGTGGGATCTCAGCAACATTCCTTCAGTGCTTCCAGAGTTCCACTTTGCCGGATGAGCCGTGTGCATCTGCCGGAGAGAGGACCCGTGGCTAAACGTTTAGAGGTGCTGCGATGATTTCAGATCCTGCCAGCGCAGACAGGATACTGCAAGAGATGCTGGGTCAAGGAAGCACTGCTTTGATAAACAAAAATGAAAAGAAAAAGTCCTCCGCAAAATGCTTTCCACATGAAGGAGGAGGCAGGGTCAAAGGTCAGAGGAAAGTTCTTGTCAGGCAAAACGAAAGCTGTGATTTGAGGCTTTTCAGTGGCACGTAAAGATGGAGGGGACACAGAGGAGTATAAACAGGTTCCGTTTTCTAAGGAAAGACTGTTTATCTCATCATCAGTGCCTCAATAAACAACAAACATCCTCCTGATGACCTGTTGTCATGGAGACGAGGTCAGGAAAATCTCAGGAGCTTTTTACTATTCCACACAAAATAAAATTATAAGGAAAATCAATTCTGTTTGAGCCCACTCAGATTATCATTTACCACACACACACACACACACACACACACACACACACACACACACACACACACACACACACACACACACACACACACACATGTTAACAGGCATGTACAGGACTCACTTTTCATGGCGGATGTCTGGTAGCGAGCGGTTCAGGGAGATCCGGTTGCTGACATAGATGTTAAAGCCGTTCTCTCGGTAGGCCTGGTCCGCCCGATCAGTTTCTGTCAGAGGGAAAGGCTGCCCCTGTTCACCGTTACCTTCAAACACACAAACAGGTGTCCGATTAGATAAACCCTAGAGTAAGCCTAACCCCCAGAACGTGTGAGGACAAGATGGAGTTCAATGTGATTGCTGAAGTAGATTTACACTTACAGGTGTGTGTCATCAGCAAATACACACATATAAACTAATAACACCATGCCTAAAACAGGATCACGTTGAATCTCAAACATGGAGACCTAGAACAGTGCCCTGAGGAGCTCCACCAAGCAGCTGAGTGGTAGGCTAAGCTAGTCTGTGGCACGGTGGAATACAAAAATAAAGATGTTTATGACTTTAATGTGTCGCCCTTTTTTTTTTACAAGCAGATTAAAAATGTATTTTCAAGGTGGTTTTTAAAAAGATATTAAATAAAATGTGAATATATTTAAGGTTTAAATTATTTTTAAAAAGCAATAAGTCATAATTCTGCAGCGAAATAATCCTGAAACATTCTCACATCATCATCACCGGCTGGAGGGTTGTCATGCACAAACACACACACACACACACACACACACACACACACACACACACACACACACACACACACACACACACACACAGCTTTTTGTTGTCAGGAAGGTGAAAAGTAACTCCTCATGTTTTAACGGTTCATCTGAAACAGATTCTCGGCTTTCGTTTGAGTTTTTACTGTTTAACAGAGATTTCACTAATTAAACCGATAAAACAGAATTGTTTGTTTGTGTTTCTCCTGATTTAAGCCGGGCTTAAATAAAGGCTGGCTCTCGTTGCACCTGCACATCCTCCCTTTGTGTTTTTAGTTCCTGAGCTCTAACAAATCCCAGAGATCTGATTTATTCACAATAAACACTTTAAGGTCGATTAGTGTCTGGGCTCTTTGTGCTCTCTCACAGACTAAAGTCCTTCTCCCAAAACTATGAAAGCCAATTAAATCCCTCCAGTTGCTCCCAGCTCACCACGGGAGGCAGAATCGATGCTTATTGTAGAAGATTAAGTGTGTTTAATTATGAACTCAGAACTCTGCTGGTTCTATCGATTCTCCTTGGTTCTGAAAGAGAAATCCACTTAGAGGGAATTAGAAGAAGAAAAGAAAATATGAAGTTGTGTTGTTGTGCTGTGATGTGGTCGTTTCTGCTGATGCAGCACTAAAGAGTCCGGACCCACCGACACGAGCTGCATCCCTCCTTATCGCCTCGTAGTCGTGCCAGTCCGTCCTCCGCACGCCGTCGGCTCCCACCTGAACGAGCCTCGGGTTCCACCCCTGCAGACACCAAACACAAGTTTCAGACTTCCTTCTGCATCTTTTCTCTCACTCTAAATTCTCTTTTGTTTAGTTATTCACTTTCTAAATCCGGGAGGCTTCAGACAAACACAACTGGAGTTTTTCTTGGTGCCAAATCCCAGGATTTCCCTGCTGAAGGTCCTTAGGTCACAGTTGCTGATTCATTCCTGGAGGTTTTGATTCAGAGCCGCATCGCAACCACTTTACTTCTCTCTCAATGATCCACCTTCTCTCACCGAAACACGAGCATTCCTCAAGAAAGTCCCGTATCCTCGGCTTGTGAGTGGACAGCAGAGCCTCTCGTCTGCTGTGCTCGGAGAACTGGTTGCACAAACGTGTTTCTGAGGGTCAAACTTTTATTTTAAGCGGTGGAGAAGCTGCTCGCTTTAACGAAACGTTCACTAAGATTTAAAAGCTTTCAGTGTTTTTCAAACCGAAGATTGATGCTTTGAGACAAAAGTAAAAAACATTTTCAACCTTAACAGAAGAGATCTTCCTTCATTCATTCATTCATTCATTCATTCATTCATTCATTCATTCATTATTCATTCATTCATCTTTGTTTCAAGCCATTAAAAAAACAAATATGTAGATATACATTTGTGACGATGCACACCAAAGCTGAACCAACAAAAGAAACAATCATTTAGCCCTTGCTCGAAAAGGAGCGGGAGGAAGTGAAACTTATTTAATCCCGCCCCATTTTACATTCACATCAGTTAGGTCAATATCACACCAATCAACACTGTATCAGCACAACAAATGAATTCAGCTTACACTCCCACACAAAACTTGATCTACTATTGACAATGATTGTATTTACAATATCATCATCAGTCCTAGAGACTTCACACAACATGTTAAATCCAACAAAAATCACAATCACACACCAGCGTCCTCACGCTTATACAAAACCAGTTCTTTAACCCCCAGAGACCCAAATTTAGAAAACAACTGCAAAATCTTTTTTTAACCTTTCACATGTTGTTCTAGGAGGCCAGATAAACGGGCCTATTTACACATTTTAACAGCCAATAGTGTTGCAGAACTGAACAATAGGACCTATAGATATGTAAATGTGGTTTTAAAAAGAAAAAAAAATGGGGAAGGTTTATTTTTGTAGACTTAAATCTGATGTTGTAATATTACAACCATGGGTCTCTGGGGGTTAAAGGGACATTATGGAAGTTTGACAGCCATTTTTACATTAATGGTACATTTTTTACAGTAAGATGCCCAAATTTTTATTTGAGACTCGCCGAACGGCATTGAATTCACAGATAAAAAAGATGTGGGTTCAACTTTCATTTTGGAACAATTTTTCAAGCAAGGGAAGGGAATGATCTGAGCATGCAGGAGGACTGACCCATCTTAAACCTTTGTCAGCTGTGCTGAAGAGAAAGATACAGAACCAAATTATTTAATTAATTAGCTGCATGTTCTTCTGTCCTCTGTCCTCCGGGCCACACACACACACACACACACACACACACACACACACACACACACACACACACACACACACACACACACACACACACAAGGGACTGTCCCAGCTGTTATTTTCGTTATGGAGTGTGCACGTACGGCATGCGCGCCTCGTGCACGAGCCTACTATTGAAGCTGCCGTTACGCTTTTGGCCTGAGGGGGCAATCGCGAGCATAAAAATTCAAAACTCCGTAAAGTCCCTTTAAATCTGATTTTAAATGTATAAATATGTGGGCATTGCTTGGGCTGTAGCCCCAGTCGATCCCAAAGTCTGACTCCACATCCAGACACAAAGACTTTTCCTTGTAGTTCTTACAGCCTGAGTTATAAAGTTACCCGCCCCTCTCAAATTGTGATCCCCCTTCCCTCTGTGAAAAGAGCTTCTGAATATTTGCAGGAAGTTAAGCTTTACTTGCTTTGTGTAACAACTGTGAAGGGTAAAAGTCCACCAAGTCAAAGAATTTTAAGAGTTTTGAATGCAGAAATAAGTTATTTGTGTGATCATAAAATCCGGCCTTGTGAATAACTCTTGCTGCACGTTTCTGGAGTATGAGGAGGGGATTTAGTGAACTCTTATAGTCATTGCCCCAAACCTCTGCACAGGCAACACCAGTGAGCAATACAACGTATACAACCCACTGTAATTATGTGTTTGGCTCTATGACTGACACACTTGTGGAAATCTTAATCTGTATGTGGTTTCCAGCTTAGTTCACTGTCAATAAATATTCCTAAGAATTTAATTTCCGACACTACAACTATTGCTATACCCGCTACATTTATTCCTGGATTTGAATTGAATTATTAAGTTTCAGCTCTGCAGGATTTACAATCAACAGTTTCACAACCTTCAGGAATGTGACGAAGACACCTTCCACGAGAAGCAACGGTCCTCCTACCAACCCTCGTGAGGGACGAGAGAGACGGGTTCGTCTTTACTGCAGTTTAAAAGTTCGGTTCTCTCCAAAAGTTTCCTTTATTTCCACCCACCAGGGTTAGCATACCCCTGATGACGGAAAACCCTCACAGACATGCTCAAAAATAACCGACAGGAGAGGAGATGTGTCTGACGGCAGGAAGTTAAAGAAGATGCAGCTCATTCTTCCAACAAGCAGCACGTCTGTGACGGAAGACAAACTTTAAATCCTCCTCAGCTTCCTTTTGGCTGTCATCCAAACTGTGCTGCTGACAGCTGGGGGTTTACACAGAGGGGAAAAAATCTGCTTTTTATTTGTTTGACACAAAAGAAAACGACATTCAGTCTCATTACGCACACGCGAGTGAATCTCCCCCCGCTTCAGGAACGACTTCCAGAGGCTGGAGATATTATAGGATCACAGCACAAAGCTAAATCCATTAGCTTCACGGGAGGACGCAATTAGTGAAATGTTGTTAATACAAAAGACGCGTCTGGCTGTGTGGAACACCATCACCCGGGCTGCTGGCTGATAGCACGGCTCCGTCAAACAAACCACTCTGACTGGCAGTGTTCGCGGGAGCGGGAAGAGCTGCCAGCTGCTGGGCTTGATTCTCTCTTCCTGTTCATTGACAGCAAGGCCAGTCGGTGAAGGAGGAAGACGCTTCACCCAACAATCAGCGTTCCATTCTACTTCTCATACTTCATGGTTTTACTAACCAGTAATTAAACACGAGCCGCGGGATGCCACACGCTCACACGTTGGACGACGGTGGCACAGGAGTTAAGTGCTCGCCCCGTAATCGGAAGGTTGCAGGTTCGAGTCCCGCTTAATCTGACGCTGTCGTTGTGTCCTTGGGCAAGACACTTAACCCACGCTGCCTGCTGGTGGTGGTCGGAGGGACCGGTGGCGCCAGTGCTCGGCAGCCTCGCCTCTGTCAGTGCGCCCCAGGGCAGCTGTGGCTACATCGTAGCTCATCCCCACCAGTGTGTGAATGTGTGTGTGAAAGGGTGAATGACTGGTTGTGTTGTAAAGCGCCTTGGGGGGTTCCAGGAGTCTAGAAGGTGCTATATCAAATACAGGCCATTTACCATATGCTTCTGACAGTTCAGTTTAACGATGTTGGAGCAGAATCTGTGATTATCGCGGGAACTTTAAGTGAGAGGTAGCGCCGGACATCAGTTCTAGTGATAATAAACATATTCACACCAGCGCTCCCATTGGTCGCAGCGTGTAGAGCGGGACGAGCTTGGAACGCTGGTGAGGACCCATCCGGAATACCGGGGATGTGTAGCACTGAGACATGGCGGCAGGTCGAATACTCCGATCCCCACATCCCTGTTCAGTGTTCAGATTTCAGCAGGTGTGTTAGGAATGATTGTGGAAAACAGATCCTGAACTATTCTAAGGCCCGGTTCACATAGCAAGATAACTGTGCCAAAGTATGACCCAACTCTGCCCGTACGACCATCTTACGGTCCCACTGATTATCGTAGCAGCTCTGTAAATAATCTCATCAGGTATTCCTGCCACGTGTGTCATGTTTGAAAATCCATCTGACAATTTAACAATCTGTCGTGTGAACCGACCTCACCAGTGTCGTCTCTGCTCCAGTATGCACTGGGACGACCCAGAAACGCGCGGATTCTTCCTGATGTAAGAGGCGAGTCTCCGCTTTGTTTTTGGGTGTTTTGGCGTTGACATCATCCTAGCGCGCAACGTTCTGCGACTCTTAAAAAAACAGTAAAAACGGTGAGAAACGCCGGCTGCGAATGAGTTCATGAAGGATTTCTAACATCCTTTTGTGTCTTTTCTACCAACTATCATTGAAGGGTTAAGGCTCATCCAAATAAACGAGTCAGAAACGTTTCTAGGTCTCCTCTCAGTGCGAGTCTTGGGGGGCACACCCCATATTTTTCTTTCTGGATTAAATTTTCAGCAGATGCAGATGTTTTATTCAGCCAGGGCCTTCTGCTCTAACGAGGAGGAGAAACAGAGCTCTCCGAGCGCTCCGGTGAAACTCGTCTTGTTTTTGTTTTCCTGCATGTGTTTGGTGTTTTTGCGTGAGTGGGTTGAGGTTGTGAAAAACAGCAGAGAAAAGATGCTGGTGAGATAAAGTGAGAATCATTTCCATCTGGATCCAACCAAAACTGCCTCTCTCACACGTTCACACGGATGTTCACAAGAGCGGGGAGCCGGCAGACGTAGGGAACCTCGCGGAGAACAACCAGCCGAGGGAATTCACGTCCCAAAAGAGCTGCCTTCATCACTCAACACTAACATGCAGGAAATGAAACCGGACACCGCATTAACCCAGCTCTCTACTGGATCACCACCATCAGCTCCACCACAGCTCTGCATTCGTTTTCATCCGTTTCCAGTTCGGCTGGAATCTGCTCATCTAGTTTTTGCTTGATCGAAGCAAAAACTAGAAACAAACAATTTTAAGCGACAAAACGGCTGCAAGTTAACTAAACTAACGTCAGGTTCACGTGGCCTAACCCTAACTACCAAAATGAGCCACTGTTGAGATTAGTTTTGTTTTTCAATCGCTTTGCTGCAATGTTCACAAC